ACCCCTGAGAGGGAGGGTGAGCGACAGATGGCATGTATGGACACCTGCTGAAAACCGGAAGTTGTGGTCAGCAGAATAGACTTCATGGCACCTCAAAACTCTTTTGCAATAAAACATCTGCACAAAAACAAGTTGTTGTGACCATAGTTTACAGTTATTCGAGGGGAAAGGGGGGCTAGGGTTACGGTAAATCGAGGGTGAACAGACAGATGGCATGTGTAGACACCTACCGAAAACAGGAAGTTGTGGTCGGAAGAATAGACTTGATGTTATCTGAAAACTCTTTTGCAATAAAACATCTGGGCAAAAACATGTTGTTGTGCTGAAGGCTTACACTAATTCAAGGGGTGGAAGAGGGGGCTAGGGTTACAAAAATCGAGGGGGGAAAAGGGTGGGTAGGGGTTATTGGAAGTCAAGGGGGAGGATGGAGGGGGATAGTTACGGTAAATCAAAAGAGGAAGTCATGAAACGGATGTTGACCATATATGGACATCCTACAGGAAGGAATGACCGGAAGGTGGCCATATACGGATGTCCCGCCCTAAAGGGGCGTGGCACCTGTCACTTTTAGTGTGACGTCATTTGATGAATGGTCATGTATATTTTCTCTCAGGTTTCAAAAATTAGTACATAAATACATAAACTAATGTGTAGAAACTGGTCAAATCAGATGCTTTAATTCTTTTAAGAGGTACAAAAAAGACTTTTTCTGACATTAGTGTTCTTAACTTCTTTTAATGAACTAACCTGAGCTTCTTCACTCAAACTGTCTGATTCACAACAATCTTTTTCAAACAATTTTACTGCTGATGATAAAGGAGATTTACATCTGTTTTTCTCTGGATTTTTCTTGGCAGTCGACCTCTGTCTGAACGTCTCATTCTTCTGCTGGTCCACAGGTGTCCTGTTCCTTTAAAAGAAAACAACTTTATTAACCTTTAATATTCACAGTTCAGTGACTAAAATCACTAAATCATTTTGTGGGATAAAAACTGCAGCGGAAATTTTCCTGGGTTCAAAAATCAAAATGTAGTGGAAATTACAACAATAAAGTTTAATWGAAAGCAATAAAAATACACAACCAGGGTCAGATCCAATCAGCTCAAAAGCCAAAAAAACACACAAAACACATTAAAGTTACCTGTTTGAGTCTTGAGTTTGTTTTTGAGGGGTTGTTTTCATCACAGAGTCCCTGAGTGGATGAAAAAAAGGGGTTTTCTGTTTAATATGTAAAATTCTGTTGGGACTCTAAAGGTCATAAGATTTTTATGTCACAGTGAAACATAAATACACTGAGAGTAAAGAATACCTGTCCTTGTTGTTTTTATACTTCCAAGTGATGAATCCAAGAATACAAAGAGTGATCATCACCAGGAGCACAATTATTACAACAATCCAGAGGAAATCTGATGATTAAAAACAAAAGTTAGAAAAATCTACTTTAAAAAGATTCAGAAAATCAGAATTGAAATCATTAAAAGATGAACTTACTTTGTTCATGTGAACTTGGTTTTCCATGTAAAGCTTGAGATTTTTCATCTAAATCTGATCAAAGAAACATAAAATCACAAAATGATCACAGATCTATAAATCAAAGTGAATCAGTTTCTCACCATCATCAGACGTGTGTTTGAGCTCAGAAATCC